TTTTTATTTCTCTCGCTTCTATGATTATCCTGCTCTTAGACTGGGTCCTGAGTTCTGCAGTACACTACATACCAAAAGCGTTTCCCTGTGGGATCACTACCTGCCATTCTTCCTTTGAGGAGTTTATGACCAATAACAAATACAGTTTCTAGACAGTCATCTTAGAAATCGGAGCATTGTTCAATCTTAAGATGTAGGATCAAAGTAAAAGATTTAAGAGGAATATGATATGAAGGCAATAAAATGTCTGCATGCATGCTTGTCTTGCCTTGGGTCATAGACAATGTGTAAGTGTTGACAGTGTGGGGGCACTACTCCGCTGCTGCTGCCCCCACTGCTGCTGGGCCCTGGCTCTGGCTAGGCTGTAGCCTCACACCTCACAGTTGGCACAGAAAATGTGATGCCAATGTCTGGGATCCTGCCATCCTTTGAATTGGGCATTAGGGAGGCCATACTTTTCCAGTCACCCCAAGCCTCTGGCATCTGGGTATCACTCTATTTCCTTAACTGTGCACTTCTCTGCCTAAGATGATGGTTCCTCTTGACTCTAACAGGGATCTTCTAGGCTGATAAGTGTGGATCCAACTCACCCGATGACAAACTGGTCACTGCTTAGTTTCCAAAGGCCTGCTATTAAACTAAACCCATGTTCAGACTGCGTACATCCTAATGCAGTCACATGTTAAACATTCCAGTGACTGTAAAAACCAAGTCAACATTTGTAAATTCTGTATAGAGAGGCTCCAGGTCGTCTTTACAGATAAATCCCTGAATAACCTCTCTAGGTAATCTGTTCCAGTGCTTAAACACTAGTATACTTAAAGAACAAAAACCAAAAAGCTTCCCTTCCTTGCCCCAAACGATAAACTGCCATCCTCTTTAAAACAAGCTTTTTTGTATTTGAAGACTTATCAATTCCTCCCATCTTCTCTTTTCCAGAATAAATTATCACAGTTCTTCTAACCTTTTCTTGTATGCCATGACTGAGGGCTGAAAAACAAGTCTTTCTCTTCTGGGCTCCTGTCTACCCCTTTCTTATAACATGGTGATCAAAACTGGAGGCACTACTCCATTCAGCATCTGTGAGACTTCACCTAAAGTTGAAAAATTACTTCGAGTGATTTACATATGACACACTTGTTAATACATCCCAGCGGGCTATTGTTTTTGCTTCGTTTTGCAACAATACTTACAATGGTGACTCCTGTTCAGCTTGCGGCCTTTTATCCTACCCAAGTTCTTTTCTGCAATTCTGTAACCTATTTTAACCTTAGTTTGAATCTGTGCATTTGATTTTTTTTTTTTTTTTTTTCCTTCAAAAGTTAGTACTTTGCACTTTTACTTACTGAATTTCATCCAATTTATTTCTTACAAACTTTAAAAACATAATCTTATTTTCCAAATTGTTTGTTGCTCCACCCATCTTGGTGTCATTTGCAAATACAGATTTCCCTTGCTTTATATGTTGTACATGCGTTCCTGGAAAAGGCACATACCTCGAATTTGCATAAAGGGAACCCACTTTACAAAGTAACAAATAGACATGTTCCAAGACCTCAGCTGTACTGACCCCTAGACCCATTTCTACCACTTTTACAAGGCAATTTTAGTACTCGCAGACAGCAAACAGTACACACAAGCACAAGGCACTATCATAATGGGGATGGCATTTACAGAAACACATGGCACAGAAAACGAGCTAGGAGAGCAGATCCACACAGGAGACCTATATTTTGGTGCGTGTCACTCCCACAGTACACCACACAAAGCAGCTGATTGCAGGCTTCCACCACACCAATCGCATAGGAGTGAATTTACTTTGCTTATAATGAATTTTTGGTGCAAAAATGGTCATCGCATAAGAGCAAATTCACACATACAGAACCTGCACAAAGCGAGGGAAACCTGTATATGCATTCAATTCCATCTTCTGTACTCTATATTGTGCTCAGGACAGACCCCTGGGGACCCCCACTTCAGTAGCATAATGATGGGCGGGCAAGCAAGGTATGAGCATTGGGAAATACCTAAGGGGACCATATGTGCTGGTGGGGGGAAGGGGGTGGGATTGTTGTCTCACCCTCCTGACTCTGTTCCCTGCATACACACCCTGCATCTTCTGTACAGCAGCCCTGGTTCTGGCTCCTGCAGCGGGGAGATCAGAGCAGCAGTGGCAGCACATGATATAGGAGAGATGGCTGGAGGCTCACTGTTGAGAGGAGAATGTTCTCTCCTTTTTTAGCCGTCCCAAATTAGTGTTTAAATGGCCACTTGACCTATGTGTTGGTGGTAAAACAAAGGAGATGACCGTATTTTCCTCCCCACAGCAACAAACCTCTGGTTGCTGCCCTTGCACCGTGTGCTGCCATTGACCAAGGAGCAGTATTGGCCAGTTATGTCCCTGCCCAACTGCTCTGGCTCTGAGCACAGTTGTCCTCCCAATCATGTGTCCATGTGATGGTAGTTTCATCTGGACTATGTTGAAAGCCTTGCTGAGTTCAATGTACACTACACCCACGGCTCTCCCTCTATCTGTCACCTTAGCCTGGAAGGAAATCAGGTGGGTTAAGTATAATTTGCTCTTGATCGGTCTGTCAGCTGTTCCTTATTGCTTTCTTATTCTCTATGGCAGTGGTTTTCAACTTTTTTTTAAGGAGTTGTATCCCTTCTGGTGGTGGTGGCTGGATGGGGACCCGGGGAGGTGGCAGCGGCAGCTGGGCATGGAGCGGGGGAGCTTGCATGCGGCGGTGACATGGGGTGGTGGATTGCAGCAGTTGTGTGTGAGCTTCCCCCTGCCCCCCTGGTCTGTGTGGCCTGCAGAGAGGAGCTGCTGCCCTTCCCCTAGTCCTGCTCCTGGGAGGTGGTGTTGTGGGGTGGTGGGTGACGGTGCTTTATCCTGCCTGCGTGTATCCCCTAGCACCTTTCCATGTACCCCTGGTTGACAGCCCCTGCTCTATGGTGCTTAAAAATAGCTTCCTTGATGGTATGCTTCATTTTCATTTCAGGTTCCTAAAACAGACCGACTGGTCTGAAATTCCCTGGAGCTTCTTTGTTCACTTTCTTTTAAAGGTGGGCACTGTATTTGCCTTTGCCTTTTTTCTGGTCTTCTGGTACCTCACTTGTTCTCCATGATTTTTCAAAGGTGATAGTCTATAGTTTTGCAATTACCTTGGACAATTCCTTGAGTTCTCCAGGATGAATCTAATCTGGCCCAGGTGATTTTGAAAACACCCAGCTTCTTTAAGTCATCTCTAACCTGTCCTTTCTCTGCTCTAAACAGTTTATCTAATCCCCAATCTTGACTGACAACTGCTTGTCATCTGATAGTTGACTTTTTTTGTGAGGATTGAGGTTAGGGTTGCCAACTCTGACGGAAACTATTCTAGATTCCCCCCCCCGCAATGTAACTTAATACCAATTGTACTGTTGAAACCCATTCACAATATCAATTTCCCAGATGGCTTTCAGTAGTCACCAGGAAATTGATGCCGATTCTGGTAAATTCCCGGCCAATACAGGAGGGTTGGTGACCCTAACTGAGGTAACCCCCACTCATTAAACACTTCAGCTTTTGCAGCGACATCCATTATTAGATTCTCTTCCCGTCTCTCCCTTTCCCCTTCAGTAAGGGACCTACATTTTCCTTGCTGTGTTTTTACTTTTGATGTATTTACTGACTACTTTGTTGTTGTTGTCTTTTTCTGTCTCGCTAGCTGTATCTGTTTGTCTCTTGGTCTCCCTGATTTTTGTCCCTACATGACTGTACCATATCCAGTCTTGGTAATCTGGCAACGCTTCCACCTTTTGTAATATTCCTTTAAGATTAGGCTAAGTCTCCTTTTAGATAATCTCCCATTTACAGGTTACAAATTAGTAGCTACATACAGGAAAAACAAACTGAAGTTCATTGATTGAATAACTGTCTGAGAGCACTCCCCAAATTTTTCCTACATTGAATGAGGTAGTCTTCTGGTTCCTTAGCTGGTAAAGAAATAACTTGAGTGAAGAAATTACTTCACAGTGATTTCCCCCCCTCCTCCCCCCTCAGATTTGAAAAAAAAATGTCAAGAGTGACCATATCTTTGCCTGCTGGCACTGGTAATCAATGGGATTCAGTGTGTTGGGAAGAGTCACTGCCATGGACCACTTCCATTTTGATGAAAAGCATCACTTATTTAATGTCTGTCCAAAAAACAAATATCAGAACTGGGCAAATCCAATCATTTCATTTTGTTGCAAAGTCCTTACTTTAGAGGGCTGTTCTCAGCCAGGACTGGAAGAGTTTCCTTAAGCCAGAATGCTTTGGTTAGAATTGACAGCTGGCACCTAACCACTACTCTTGAATCGAGTCCAGGTGAATCTTTTTTACCAGTGGCTTCACTTATCAGAAAATAAATTAAATTTGACACTTCATATCTCACTGGCCAAATAAAATGCTAATATTTGTAAAACGAGGGGAATGCTTTATAAAGGAACTTGAACAAGCATAAAGCATTGGAGCTGAAACAGGTTGGCAACTTTGAAATGCCTCTCAAACCTTGAGCCCTGTTGGCTATTTTGTACTGTGCCTGCCAGATGCATTAATGACACAAGCTACCTAGCCTTTCCAGAAGCTCAGGCACCAGAGATGACTGAACTTCAGTATTTAACATGAGCTGAACATGTATGGTTAAGGGCTTGCAGGCCAAGTCCTATGAGGAGAGACTAGGGCAC